TACTAGTCGTTTATCAGATGTAACATCGACCTCAGCCACAATCCTCTTACAGAAACCGATAAGCTCTTTACAACATTCCTTACAAGATATAACGGGCCAAATATACGAATTTATCAAGGGATTTTGAGTATGTAGATTTTTTGCAATTACACGTGTCCATGTATTTGCAATACCTTAGCTAACAGGAATAGCAAGTTAAATATAGATGATGTATAAGATGATGATAGCTTGATTCTAGAATACTTTGGCCGATATGTTTTTTGTTGGAATTGTTCGGTTTCAAAAGCCTTGGCTGGATTTTTCGGGAACAAATGTATTACTGAGCTTTAAAACACCAAAAGGGCCATGAATCATACTTTGACTATCCAGTTACAACGGAGATTTTTATCACGCTTCGTGAAACTATGATTTATGAACAAGAATTCATAATGTACCAAGTACACTAAAATGAAAGCATGTATCTCGAACTTATTTTCAAAGTGTGTGGGCCATAGGTTAAATGGTTAATAGGTAACACTTAAAATTTTAAACTTTAAGGGTTAGAAGACGTTTCTTTTATTTACTTTCCGTAAATTTAATAACACGTACGATGCTGATCAAGAAGTTATTTAACAGGTAACAACTGCTGAAATTTAAAAATATAGCTTATTATGTGTATAAATAAGGGGTATTTACAAAAAGATAAACACATTTGGTTATAGCACAAATTCAATCTTTTAGGTTGTCGTGTACTAGATCAATTAAGAACTAATTGTATCATTTTAAAGTCTTTAAAAGGGCATGTAGGTAGGTAATTTTTAGTTTTAGGAATTAATCTGTGTATAAGATTTCCTTATAAACCCCGCCAACCTCTCTTGTAAAGAATTTGTCCATTGTATGCCAAATGGTTTTATTTACTCCTCCTATAATTAGTATATGGACAAAGTATTGTTTTCGTAAAAATTTCCAAGTTTTACTTTTGGGTGGAAATAGCCGTTTTGGGATCCCTCCTGAACCCAAAAATTGATTTTCGAAGTGGTATCTGGATGTATGTGCGTGTATGTGTTTGTCCCATTATAAGGGTTGTAGACACGAAAATAGGAGGAGGTATAATATGTCAGTATGCTGATATAATTTATTTACAAATGGTAATACCTTAGTTAATACTAGCTGTTCAAAGATAGCTATTATCAAGCTAAGGAACTCCCCATACCCTCTTCACTATCTAAGTTGATACCCGCCAGAGTTTAAGGTATAATGGAGTGATAACGATACTCCGGGGCCCTGGAATTCCCAGCAATAAACCAACTTTGTCTGCCATATACCTTTACCTTTGCCAACCTAATTTTGTAACTAAAACATAATTTTATAGGATTTAAATATTTTCCTCCGTCTTGTCAACATTACGATTCACTTATTTCGATTTTAAAAGACTAACTTACTAACTTACTTAAAAATGTTTTTGTCAAACTGCAGCAAAAACTGCTAATTAAATTTTACGGGCTTTTGAGTTAAAGCAGTTACTAACATACATACATTAAAAAAGAATCAGATCTAGTACTGTTACAACTGCTATGATTAGTCTCCTTGTTACTTCTTTCATTTATTGTTTTATAATGGTATACAGCATTGGATTGAAGAACACATTTTTTAGATTGAAAAACACCAATTAGTTTTTTGTATTTACCTAAAGTATTATGCTAAATTGGATACTTTACTACCGTAAATATCTTTGTAATTTTTTTATAAAAGTCCCAATTTTAAACTTTTTCGATATTTTACTGAAGTACTCGGTGCGTCTAGCCTTATTGATTTGGAATAACGTTGAACAAAAATAGAACAAAAAGTTGTATAGTAGATTTTAGCTAAATGTACAACACGTTTGGAAAATATGTGGGAGCTACGATTACATATGCTTTTTATACTTAAAGCTTAAATACGGGTCTCAATTTATGGTGCGACAAAAATAGTCCATCCATAGCTACGCGCGCACTACGGCGGCACGGCACGGACGGGCGGCATTTTTAAGAGGGGGTGCGCGCACTAGGGCGGCACGGCACGGACGGACGGGACGGGACATCCGCACATCCGCCATTTAGGACAGTTTACAGTCTGTGAGCTAAAATTGTGAGTAAAGATGGATGTAGATAAAGTGGTGATAGTAGGTTTAATTTTAGCAGAGGAAGAGGAGACAAGAAGGTGCAAGCAAAGATTTGAGATACACCACATAAACAGGAAAAGATTAAGTTTTGGAGAGTTCCACACCCTGTTTCCTGATCTTGTAGAAGGATTATGTGTAAAACTTACCTGATTGTTTCATAATAGATCATATTTCTGCCCATATATTGTCACGCCGGACGTTATTTAAAATATTCCGGATGTCGCATGTTGTACAGTTTCGGGTATTTCTCAACGAGAAAATTCAACTTACTAAAATCTATGTTTTGCAACACACGAAAACACTGCTACTTTGACAGAGATCATTTGAGAATGGCGGATGTCCCGTGCCGCCCGCCCGGTCGGTGTGCAGTGCTCCCGGTCGGTACGGGCGGTACGGGCGTCACGGCAGCTCGGAAATGTCCTAGAGTTCTGTCTCCCGGACTTTTTAACAAACGGCGGAAGCTGCCGAACGTCCGTTGCCGGCCGTACCGCCGTAGTGGGCGCACTCATATGACAATCAATGTTATTAACTTTTAAAAACTGCCGTACCGCCCGCCCGTCCGTGCCGTGCCGCCGTAGTGCGCGCGCAGCTCATTGGGTCAAAAGTGTATTTTTTTCTTTTGTGCATTTTTTCAACCCTTGGTGTCATTTTGGTAGTCCAATATGAACTCATGTTGAAACAGTCACTTTAGGCCCAAGTAATGGATTATGTTATTTATTTAGTTAAACCATAGATAAAAGGAGCTTTTAATCTATGGTTAAACACAAGAGCCAGAAATGATGTATACAAATTGTGTGCGCATTTAACCACACAGTATCAAACACATCAACACACATATCTACAACTTCCTGCGTCAACCACAACTACATTGCAGTATAATGTATAATATACAACAATGATTGCATCAGTTGAAGTTCTCACCACAACATACGCTAAGCCGGAATACAATAACTCATCACACAATTGCTGGGTAAACGACGCTCGGTGCTTCTCACTCGGTGACACGGCAGATACTTCCGGTACAGACCGGAAACAGCCTCGTTTCCGCACATTGTCACGTGACAGATAACTCCGTCATTGTTGCTGCGTCATCAACATTCTAAACTTTTGTAGCCCAATGATATGTTATCTTTGGACTGTCAAAAGTTCAATCTGTCTTTGGTTGAGTCGAATCATTGGCTTTATATATTAAATGGTTGAATACAACTTGCACCCATTTCAGTTTACATAGATTAAGTTGAGAAAATGTGAAGTAACAGCATAATAACAACTAAAGCTAAAAACAACTTTTGATTGTTTTGCGTTTATATGATGAAGTTGCTGCATTTGTATTGGTTTTTTTGTTGTTTTTTTACGTCAAAGTAATTTTTGGTTTTTAAGTAAGGGAACGGTGGCCATCCCGATATTTTCCTTTCTATTCAACGACATCGTTTTTGGATACCATAGTTAGTTATAGACCAAGGACGATTATCATCTTGGTCCACAATCAATTTTACTCGGAATCGAACTATCGAAACTAAAATTTTAAGACAAGCACTCTAATAATAGCTTATCTTGTTTGTAGAATGATGTTTATCGCTGAGAAATTAGTTCCTCAAACTAAAAATGTCAACTAAGCAAATGTTAAGTAAAAACATAATCCGCACAGTATTTCGGTCATTTCAATGTTAAAGTAAACTAACCAGAAGCGCGTTTATTATAAATAACTACAGTTATGATTATTTGGGATTTGAATCAAATTTCAAAGAAATAATACTGAGACTTGTCGATGTCTCATTCGAAAAAAATAAAACCAGTATCCTTCCAAATGTAGATAACATTCCTTCTTTTGAATGAATATAAAACTTAGATATGTACAACCATAATTTATTTGAGCCAATTGTAGTAATTATTAAAAATCAAAATGTATAAGTTTTCTAAGTGTGAAGTTTTTAAGTCTAACACCAAACATCAACCAGCTTTTGTTGAGAGAGTAAATGTTCTGGAAACATGATAAAAGAGACCCTAAATCCGCAGGTAATAGATACAGGACTAAAACCCCTGCTTAATAATAATTTGTAAACTTATTGAGAAGATTCTATACCATCATTTAAAGACAAAGGTCAAACATACTTGTGATTCAATTCTTTATGAATGTAGGTATTTGCATGCACTTTCTTTATTAATAATACAGTATACTTATGCATGGAAGTGACTGTAGAAAAAAAACGTTCTAGAAATTTAAATTAGGTGAAGAAATTACGTTTTTATTTAAGATTTAATTCTAAGACCTTTTATTACTTAGGGCTATAGCAGCCTCAAGTTGGCTCTATAAAAATTAAAGAGTGAATATAGTTGGATGTTTTAAATATTCATAAAACATAGCATAGTTTTTTTTATAGAAATTCTTTTAATATAAATAGTAAAAACTTACATAAAACAGACTGGCATTAAATGCCCAGCGACAAGTTAAAAACAATGTCTCTAAATGCATGTTGATTGCTTAACAGATTCACTTAAAATATAACATGACACAAAACACACAGATATTGCTAGTTTAAAACGATTGTACACTTTGACAAACACGTTTTAATATGTAGAGACTTTTGAGTTTTACATTAGTATGTGTTGTGTATAAATAAACATCAACATTTATGCAATTCCACTCTTGATTACGAACGCAAACATACACTAGATTTGAACTTGTTCCATAGACAATCAATTAAAAATATTAGTGAGTTTGTATAGAACTACTTAATTTAATTTCTTAAACT